TTTCCTGGCCTGGCCTCAGTCTACCTCCTCGAGCACACCTCCTGTCTTCTTCCCTAATGCATTCTGTGATCTAACCATGCGCTGCCAGCTGCTGTGCAGACATCCTGTGCTTTCTCTGCTCTCCCAGCCTTTGCATCTGCTGTTCCCATTACCTCAAGTGGCCTCCTCTCCTGTCCTGACCCCTCCCTGCCTGGAAAACATCTCAGCTGAAGTCTTGGCTTCCAGGAGTGAGATATTCCCAGGGCACCTCTTGACACTTAGAGAGCTTGAACTTCAAAACTGTAATTGTTTGCATGCCTCTCTCCCTTTCTGCCTCCTTCCCCAAATCACTTTTCCATCTTTGTATATGCCGTGCCCAGCAGACTTTCGGCCCTAAAGTACCAATTGTTTGCCCAGCCGAACAGTGGACTGAGTGGCTCGGTGGACTGAGTGTCATCCCATGCACCAAGAGGTTGCTGGTTCAATTCTCGGGCTGTGGTCAGGGCACATGCCCGGGTTGTGGGCTCGATCCCCAGTAGCAGGTGTGCAGGAGGCAGCCGATCGATCTTTTTATCTCTCCATTTCCTGTCCTCTCTCTCTAAAATCAATAAAAACATATTTTTTTAAAAAATGCTAAATGTTTGTTGAATCAATTCATTCTTTTTAACCGATCTCCTTCCTGTCACCCTGTTTCTTTCCAATATATCTTCCAAATGCACCGGCTGGTTTTCAGAGCTGAGCCGACCATGCCACTGGCTACCTGAATATATCCTCATGCCTATAGAGAAGCATCCAAACTCCTCAGCACTCAGTCCTCCACAGCTGACTCCAGCCACCTTCATTTCTGACCACTCTCCCCAAAATCTACTTTTTTGGCTTATGCCATCACTTCCCATTTTTACAGCCTTCAGCTCCCCTGCCCTGCAAAACTGGATACACTCACACCCAAGGTTGTTCTCAGAACCTGCACTGGACCTTACCTCCTGGACATCTGCAAACTGCTTTCAAGTTTGCTCCCTCTGTCCGATCTCAGACTCTCAGCTCTCTGCCTTGACTCTGACTTTAGCTCTTTGGACTAAGGCAATGGTCGGCAACCTGCGGCTCGCGAGCCACATGCGGCTCTTTGGACCCTTGAGTGTGGCTCTTCCACAAAATACCACCTGTGGGCGCGCACATACAGTGCAATGAAACTTCGTGGCCCATGCGCAGAAGTCGGTTTTCGGCCTGGGCGAGTCTATTTTGAAGAAGTGGCGTTAGAAGAAGTGGGGGGGTGGCCATCTAGAGAGGATGAACGAAAGGAGATAGACAAAACAAGTATACAAGACGAGTGTGGATGGGAGAGTTGGAAGGGGTCGACCTCAGTGAACGTACCTCAATCAGATTGAGGAAGTTTTTAGCAAAGGCCAGCTTAGGAGTACCCTAATTATGTTAATAACAATGTACCTACCTATATAGTTTAAGTTTAAAAAATTTGGCTCTCAAAAGAAATTTCAATCGTTGTACTGTGGATATTTGGCTCTGTTGACTAATGAGTTTGCCGACCACTGGACTAGGGGTTTCTACTTAGTCCCCTTGGCACCGGCCCCTTGTTCCTCAGCTTTCCTTAAAGGGCCATGGTAGAGTTGGTTCATTGGTCTTCACCATCTCTTCTACTGTTTCCTCTGTAATAACGGATCCTGCAGTTTTCAGAGGGGCCCCTGACCACCCAAAATAAAGACTTGCCTTCTGCAGCCTCCACTGAGGTAACCGTGGCCACCTACCTAAGTCCGGGTACATGGGATGTGAGCGGAAGTAAAAGCTGAAGCCTACGCTGCTGCTCTTTTAAGCCCCTGTTATTGCAGATGTATCTGTATGGTAACTAGGACTTTGGCTTGAACGCATCTAGATCTCTTGCTCTTCTACTAGTATAGGACACCCTGCCCCATTGAGGCCCCTGGGAATTCCATTCCAGAAGCAGGACTAGCATCACACATTATCCTCTTCACACAATGCCACCTATCAGGAAGAC